GGGGGGGGGGGACGACAATTATTTTAAAATCCCCTTGCAGAGGTCCCTCTCCCACGGCTGAAAGTGATTTCCTAAGAAGTGGGGGCTGGACAGAGGTTTGAGTGTGAGGTCTGTTGATTTGTCCCACTGGGTATTGTGGGGAAGAGAGAGCTCGAAGGAGGAGAGACAGGGTGGCTGTTAAGTCCTGGATCTTTTCCTCTGAGGGAGCGGAGAGTTGTGGAGGCTGTGCTCTGTGCCAGCCATGGAGCCCTCGCTGAATCCTCTTTATAAAGATGGGATTGTGGACCCATTACACAGATGAGGACGTCAAGGTTCAGAGCAGCAAAGGGACCAACCCAAGGACACCCAACCAGGAATGGCATAGCTGAAGCTGGCTCCTGCAACATGCTGTCACCCAAGGTTAGCTTAAAGGACCAGGTGCCTTGAGCGAGAAAGCGTTCTTTAAAAGATAACTTTAATTCAAAATGCAAATTGGGGGTGATTCTTCTCTGATTGCATTCACATTAAAACCAAGAGACCAGGAAGTAAATATGAGGCCAGCATCAGAGCCTGAATGAGCTTAAGAGAAAAACTCAGTGTCAGAGCCAGACACAGGCGTAGGGCACCCTGGAAGCGTTTTAGGAAAGCATCACTAATCCTTACCCGTTGAGGTGATTTGGGCGTGGTCCTAAGTCACAGGCTAAGCGAGATTAGCACTTAGAGTCCCTGTAAATTTCCTGGAGTCAGTGGCCTAAAGATGAAAGGTATCTTGTTGCTCCCAGAACGCAGCCAAGCCCTGGAAACACCCCCACGCTCAGTGATTAGAGGGACAGGGGAGCGAGCTGGGCGAATGCTGGGAACTGCCCTTTACCCAGCTTCACCCCTGCGCTCTGACTCTGGTTCACCTTGGTTCTGAAACACCTTGGTTTTCCCATCCATAAAATGGGCATGTTGGGTTCCTCTCCTCCAGGCTTCCGCAGCAGCTGCTACCGATTGGTGTGCCCTTTGGCGATGGCCGTGCATGTCTCTTCCCTGCCAGCTTCTGGGATCCCTGAGGCCTGAGCTCCTGGCACTGAGCCGTGAGCGGGTGAGTGAACGAATGAATGAACACATGAGTAGGCACAACAGTCTACTGCAGTTGTCTCCCACAGCTTGTAGAGCAAAGTGTTAAACATTCAGCAGTGTTGCAGGCCCAAAGTGTTAAATTATCAGTAGCTTAAAACTGACCGATTTATACCAGGTGGGCGTGTTTATACCAGGAACTAAATCAGCAAATGCCACAAATCGGAGCTTCCCTCCCCGTTTTCAGAGCCTGTTTACCAGCATCCCATGGGGAGCTCTTACCATGCCAGGCACTGTTTTAAGCACTTTACATATATGAATCCACATTTAACCCCCACAACCACCATTATTATTTCCTTTTTACAGATGGGGAAACTGAGGCCCAGGGAGGTGGTGTCACTTGCCCAGGTGTGGTTCAGTAGCCTTCCCTGACAGGAATGTGAGGGAGCCGAATGGGCACCGTCCTCACCGTCTCTGGGCTCAGCTGCCTGTCATGGCCCCACAGGTACCAGCCACGCTCATCACGGCCACGGTTTTTAATCAGCTCCTCCAGAAGAAGACATGCAGTTGCCTGGTGACTAAAGTGTGTCCCAACCCTCAGAAGGCCATGCTGTGAGCAGAAGGATAAAGGTCCCCACACGGGGTGCCCCTCATCCCGGGCTCCAGACAACAGATCCAATCAGCCCAGCCAGACCCCATGCAAAGCTCCAGGCCTCTTTCGTGACGCCAGCAGAGCCATGGGTAAGATTGAATTAGAGCCGTGACGTCCTGGCACAGCGCCGCGGGCTTTGTGTGGAGAGGGCCCTGCCGTGTGTGTGCATCGTTGCCAGAGAAGGGGCAGAGCCCCGGCAGAGGGTGGGTGCCTCCGCAGGGCCCCCCAAAACTCACGGAAACGTCTATCCACTCAATATTTGCCTTTAGGGACCACAGTTGGGGACAATCATGGACTCTTCAAAGCTCAGCTTTAGGGATAACAGAGCCTCCAGGGGCCCTTGTTTACTCCCCTGCGTTGTCATCTCCTTTGTGTCAGTGTCCCCACTCCTCTAGGAGTCCCTTAGGAGTGGCTCCTGGACCCAGCCAGAGCCCTGAACACAGCAGGCCCTCCAAAAACGTGCAGTGAATAAATGAATGAAGGAAGGGAGGAAGGAGCCCACAGATTGTGCCCTGGCACCGCACCTTCCTGCTGCCACAAGGAGTTCCCGATTTTATTCCCAAGCCCTGCCATCAGGAGTAAAATCCTCCTGGTCATCACACCCCAGCCTTCTCTTGGCTAAGGTGGCTTGTTTGGCAGCAGACCCAGGAGTGCGGATGGGGACCCTGGGAAGGCCTCAGGGAGGAAGCGATTGCCCCGAGATCTGAAGAGGAAGCCCCGGCCATAGGAAGAGGGAGGGGAAGGGAGTTCCGGGCAGCAGGAGCAAGTGCAAGTGCTTGTCTGGGAGCTGACAGCGGCGAGTGGGCCTTGAGGTGAAGCTGACAATCTAGGCGGGGCGGTGGGATAAAGACCAGCTCCCTTCACCCCA